GATTCCTGAAGCTACTAACATACTAAAATGGACTAACGTACTTACAAAGGACCCAAGAGGACTTAAAGGGTTGTATCATGATTAAGAGTGTAAGCTCTGGAATCTGATAGCTTAAGACTGAATCCTGCCTCTGACACTAGCTACGACTTTGGACAGATCACTTAAGCTTTCTATGCCTTAGAATCTTCATCGGTAAAATGGGGAATAAAAATACCTACCTCATGAGGGTTGCTGTGAGGATTGAATGAAATAATGCATATAAATCACCTAGTACTATACCAAGCATATAAAAAGTGCTCACAAAGATAAGCTATTATTCAGTTCTTCCACAGTGCCTCACAGTCCTATGCCTATAGTTTTAAAAGTATTTGTGGAGCAAATGAAATTGACAACTACTAATTTAATACACTTCCCTAACATACTAATTTGCCCATACTTTGCCTACTAAATTTCCAATAATAATGGAAATAGGGCAGTGCCTGTGGCTCAAAGGAGTAGGGCACCGGCCCCATATGCCAGAGGTGGCGGGTTCAAACCCAGCCCCGGCCAAAAACTGCAAAAATAAATAAATAAATAAATAAATAATAATGGAAATAGCTGTTATTACAATAACGTAATTCTTTTTCCCAAACTTCATGGCTCTGTCTCCTTTTTCCAGAAACCGTTTGCTGGCCCGATCTCTGCCTCCTCTTCCACTCATCAAAACCTGCCTGCACATGTGCCCTGTGTTGCTTTAAGATTCCAGAGAGTAGTCAATTTTAAAAGTGTCTGTAGGCTTGGCACCTGTGGCTCAAGTGGCTAAGGCACCAGCCACATACACCTAAGGTGGTGGGTTCGAATCCAGCCCAGACCCGCCAAACAACAATGACGGCTGCAACCAAAAAATAGCCAGGCGTTGTGGCGGGCACCTGTGGTCCCAGCTACTTGGGAGGCTGAGGCAGGAGACTCGCTTGAGCCCAGGAGTTGGAGGTTGCTGTGAGCTGTGAAGCCACGGCACTCCACCCAGGGGGATAGCTTGAGGCTCTGTCTCAACAACAACAACAAAAAAAAGTGTCTGCAAATGGAAGAGGGCATTTCCCCTGCCCCATTACCAAGTCCCCAGTTCCTTCTTTTCCTGTATATCTAGAAGATTTCTGTGAAACAGAAAGGCCACTACCTATATATACAAAGTTCTGTGAGTTCTTCAAATAATGTACTGTCTCTTCTCCTTGGGTAAGAGTAGCAGGTTTTTCAGGTTAGAAGCTGCTCCACACCCATCTCCCTAAACTACCTGCATTCCCAAGTTATTAAGTCAGGAGGCTTTGGAGGATACATGGATGGAAAATTTTGCCTGGTCGAGTGCTGAGGTACATTTTTTCTGCCCTGTGAATCTCCATTCTAGCTCTAATTGGCATACTTAGCTCAACGTGTGTGTGTGTCTCTGTATGTTTCCATAACACCCACTCCTTAAGCAGCTGATTCACATAGCTTTTATGAACCAAATTATTGTTCTACACTGTTCCTGCTCTTTATTAAGGACATGGTGATCATTGGGGAGAAATTCTTGCTTGAATTCCAAAGAGGCAGTATGTTCTTTTCGGTATCTGATAAATTATTTCCTTCTTTCTTTCCTTTTTTTTTTTTGAGACAGAGCCTCACTCTGTTGCCCAGACTAGGATGCCATGGTGTTAGCCTAGCTCATAGCAACCTCAAACTCCTGGGTTCAAGTGATCCTACTGCCTCAGCCTCCCAAGTAGCTGGGACTTATAGGTGCCCACCATAAGACCTGGCTAATTTTTCTATTTTTAGTAGAAATGGGGTCTTGCTCTTGCTCAGACTGGTCTTGAACTCTTGATCTCAAAGCAATCCTCCTGCCTCAGCCTCCCTGAGTGCTAAGATTTCAGGTGTGAGCCACTGCACCCAGCCTGGTAAAGTTATTTCTTTGAAGTTCACCTTGAATAAAACAGTTAGAGATAGCAGTGTGAACTTTATATGATAACAACCTAAGTCTCTTCCTGGTGAAAAATGGAATGAGGGAGTTGGGGTTGAAAAATGAAGTCTGAGCCAGGCACAGTGGCTCACACCTATAATCCTAGCATTCTGGGAGGCTGAGGTGGGTAGATTGCCTGAGCTCACAGGTTCAAGACCAACCTGAGCCAGA